TAGCTTGTCCACCTGTATGCTCTACTGTTCTTCTACCCAGCAGGCTCTGATGCAAGTTCCTTCCATGTGTATCTCGACCATCTTCCCAGACTGGGCCCACATTGTATTTCTCTCTGAGCCTTGTTGGGAGCCTACCAGAGTATTCTGCACACATCAGGTGTATGATAACAAACTGTTTATTCAAGCAATAACCTTGAACGACTGATTTGTAACTGGAAAAATCTGGAAACGGCCTGTAGGACTAGAGGAGAAACCCGTTTTTAAAGCCTTAATGTCACAGATTCTCACTAAATTATTTCACTGACTGAATCTTGTTCTGTTCCATCAATAGCCATGCATGGCTGATGTTATTTATCTCTTGTATGGCTGCAGGTAGGGAGGTTCAAAAGAGTAAAGTGACTCACTCAAGGTCACAGCCCTCCACCCCCAGCAGTGCAATTTCATTTCCTAAGCAACAAGAGTGTGACCATGAATCCATGTGCTGAGCACAGAAGCATGCACAACAAAAGGTTAACCAGAAACTGTGTGGTTCCCTCAGACCCAAAGGCTGCAAAAACATCTCCCATCACACACGTCCAAGGTCAGGCAGCTGCAGCATTCCAGCGTTCAGGAAATACACTTCAAGAATGCAATCAGTCTAAAAGGATTTCTTCAGTTCATCACCCTACCTTGTACTTTTTTTTTTTTAATGGAGCCAACTAAATGAAAGTTCAAAGTGGGGAAATCTAATTGAGTGCCCTAGGTCATGTTCATGGGCAGTGGTTCAGAAAGAAGCTGAAGCCTGGCTTCCTAAGAGGTGTTGCCCAGCTCTGAAAATCTGCAGGTAGATAAAGCACCTGAGCAATGACAATCAGGAAGGGAAAAGAGTATGGAGGATGAGAGGTCAAAGGGGATAAGAAGCCACCATGAGGCTGGCCTTGTTATTTTCTGAATGGAGTTCTCTTTAATTCTTTTACACTGCAAACTTCAAACTGTCTTTTGCCCTTCTTCTATTATAAAACTCTAAATATATGCCTTGTGTTTTACAAATATCTGTACATGATCAATTCTTCAGCAATATGAACCAATCACTTTGGACCATGTGCTTTCCTCAGACCTAGATCAATAACAATGTGCTATGATGTAGTTTGGTCCATTTGCTTCCATCCAAATGGTCTCCACATCATAAAACTTTTGCCAAGACTAACTGCTACTCAACTGTACTGGATGAAGTAATGCTGTATTATAAAGCTGGGCAATTTTCTCATTCATCAACCAAAGCATTTGATAAAATTCTCAAGAGTGAGGCAGCAATTCCTCTGCCTCCCAGGGGAGGTATAACTGCAGGCTGCCCTCTTGAGAATGGGGTTCTCAGCCTCTTCTAACCTCATTGAGTACTGACTTGGCTGGAAGAACTCAGCTCCCATCTATCCCAGTCTAAACTATATTCTTTTCCCCATTATCTAAGGTTCCCAAGTGGCCTGGAAGAGCTGTACAAAACTATAAGAACCACTACCAATGACAAGCCACAAAATTGCCCCACACTCTCCAGTTGGGCTGACCCATCAGATTAAGGGTGAGCTGATCACCAAGCCAACCCACTGACCAATCGAGCCCACAGAGATTCCAATAAAGTGTTCTGTGGTATGTGACTATGACTCCAGAGGAGGTATGCCCTGGGTAATTTCTACCCCTTTCTCAATCTTTCTGGGGTGACTATATGTTCTATAGCTCCAAAATCCTTGGAGTTATGTCTGGTCCCAACACCTCACACACAGTACACCCTTGCCCAAGAAGAAATGGACAGATTCTGGTGGGTGGCTTCCCAGAGTCTGAGAATACTCTTTGAAGGAAAAGTGGCCACTGCTCAGCAGTCCAAACCCAATGGGGGGAGCCTCCAGCCCTTCCTTCCTCTCTGTTCACTTTGTCTAAAACAAGTCCTTATCCACTCATTTCAGACAAGTGGCAAAGGAGTCTTTTCAGAGACCAACACTCCTCACTCTATGCCTTAAAGGGCTACTCCTCCAGCCTTCTCTACCTACAAAGTTAAACTGGATTCCAATTCTTCTCTCCTTTCACGATCTGGTGCTTTTGTCAGAGGGTAGCTAATCCAAACTTTATGTAAATTTATTTGGAGTACAGATACCTTCCTCACATACCTTGTTCATTGCTTTGACATTATACAGTTATAGGAAATCTTCCAAAAGTTTACGCTATGTCTGAAAACTCCTTCAAATATAAATAAAATAAAGAAGCATAAACAGAAAACAATTAATCCTTGAGCCTGGGGTCTTTGAAGTCCCAAAAAGTGCAGCTGGGAGAGCCTTCAAGATAAGACAGAGTGGAAACACCATAGGCCCATGCCTCTAAATACCATCAAAAGAGGGGGCAGAACTGAATGCATAATTTATTCCTCATAAACAAGTAATGATATATCTAATAATGAGTCATTAAATAGATACCAAACATCTCTAGGCACAAACAGCATGGATTTCATGCAAAACAGAGCAGAACCTGTGTTCCTCCAGCCCCTGCAATGGACACTACCATTTAGAGACATTAAATACAGAACTTACAAGCAATTAAAATGATACTCAACATCCAGAATACAGTTTTGGAGAGCACAGTCACATCCATTTTTTATATACCATTCACAGCTGCTTTCACACTACAAGGGGAGTGTTGAGAAGTTGTGACAGAGGCTATACGGCCTGCAAAGTCCAAAATATTTTCTCTCTGGTCCTTTACAGAAAAAAAAAAAAATTGCCAACTCCTAATTTATACAATTATTTAGATACAGGGAGGTGCCCCATCCACAGCCACCAAAAATAATCTACTTGATAGCCTGCCCTTTTCATACCTTGTAGCTCAGCCTTCTCAGACAGATAAACAGACAAAGACACACTCATCACACAAAACTCCATGACGGTGGTTTCTAACAGGTCAAGAGGGACTGATACGTTACCACCCTGAGAACCACAACCACAGATGGAGAGAGGCACAGACTTGGTAAGCTTATGCTCTGTTGCTTTCTTTTCTTTGCCCTCCAGGACCACTTTGCCACCAAAAGGGCCATCCCAAGTCACCCTATTGTCTCTTTCCTCCTGCCTTCAGCCTTTTGACTACTTGGAAAGAAGTGCCCAATGTCCAGCTCACATGGAAGGATGGGATGAACAAGGCAGACTAAACAACAGCAGTGTCTGCTCAAGCTGGAACTTAAAATCTAAAAATCTAAGAGGTCCACCAGCAACTGGCACAGGGTGAACTCAGACTCTTGGCTGTGTTCCCTTATGTAAAGCACAGCGCCCTCACATGGTGTCAAAGGGAAGGGCAGTCTTCCTGAAAGGGCTCAAATGCCATCTGTGAGGAGGCTCAGCATTTACTCTGCAAGGACTTTAAAACAATGTTATCCAGATTTTCAGCCTCAGCTCCTTCACAGATAGCTCCTCGTTGGAAACTTTACACCAAGAAGTATAAACTCTGACCTCTACAGAAACTCACTAAACCGCAGCAAATGGGATTCAGATGTTTCCATGTACAGTACAGTGATGTGACCTAGACTTGAAACACTTTGGCAAAAACAGGAAAAATGATGTGGGCCTTTGAGTCCCTCCCAGAACATGATACAGCCTTGACCCGAGCCCTATGGTGATCTGAGCCTTTCTCACTCCTAGTTAAGCCTCCTCACCCACAGCCCACATTCTCTGACCCTGTTCCACATTAACTACCAAGCCCCCTTCATTCTATATCCTTTTCCTTGTTTTACCAAAGCAGCCCATTTCTCCCAGTCAAGCAAAAATGGATCACACCTTAAAATCAGAATTCAGAAAATGCCTGAAAGAAGAACTAGGCTGATCCCAGGAATTACATGCTCCAGAAGTGCTGAGAATAAAGCAGAAGCCTCACATAAAAACTTGGACCCCAAGGCTTTCTGGCTTTACTGCAGATTCCTGATGACTTGCTACAGACTACATGGGAAGGGCCAGAGAATTTCAGATGGTGGTATAAGATAAAAGGAGATAGGGGAAGCAGTGTCTTGTGGGCCTGGTAAGGACAGACACAAAATAATATCAGAAATTGCCTCCCCAGAGGATAGTTGTGTCAAAAGACAGAGAAACAACCCATGCACTTCATTCTCTGAGTTGATACCAAGCTTTGTAGGGGGCAGCCCATCTGCCAACCATGTGCACTCCTTGGGGCATCACTGAGAAGCTTAGAAGAGTTTGGCTGGGCACCAGTGTAGTCAAATGATTAAGTATGAGCACAGGCAGAGCAAAAGTACACAAGAATTCTCCCAGCCCACTGAGTACTTGTCACAGGTGCCTCAAATAAATATAATAGGGCAGGATATTAGGGAAAGGAGGACTTCGAGGAGCAGAGACATGTTCTTAGCATCAATATAAGAACACAGTGATCCTTGTTGGAGCAGGATGCCAGATAAATGCCTGTTAATGGTACAGAAAACAAGGATACTGATAATTCTTCCTCTCCTGGTTCTGACCTTTCAACAAGAGTGGGGTTACCATGATTGCCTGGGATCCCCTCCAAACTTCCTTTTCCTAGTATTAAAGGAAATTCAAAAGCACAAAAGGACTATCTACTCCCCTACACACCAACCCAGAATTAATGGGATACAGACATAAAAGTGTTCTCGTGACAGGCATACATACACACCTGTGAAAATGCAGTGTTCTCTACACCTGAGCAAAATGTGCCTCACAGTCAGGGGTCTGACAGTTTCATGTGCACTCTCCTGGGGGATCCGCAGCTCATTCCTATGTGACCCCACCTCCGCCATATTCTGATAATTGAATTCTTCCCCTCCCATCCCCTTCCCTTACAAATCATCAGGAAGGTCTGGAGGGATGGGGGGTAGGGTGGGAAAGGAAATAGAAGGTTCTCTCCAGTTCCTCTGAAGGCTGGATTTTCCCGCCAAGGAGTCCCACCCCAGCCCTCCACGAAGACCACCCGGGCGTCGCAACAAACCGGCCAGGCAGACCCGGAGGGGACGCGGGCAGTACCAGGCCGCCGGCGGCGCCACAAGCGCTGAGCGAGACCAGGGAGCCTGGGTGGCCGAGTACGCGGCCAGAGTAGAAGCACAGTTCCGCTGGGCGTCCGCTCTGCCGGTCTGCACCGGCCTCCTCCACCTCGAAGCCGCTGGACAGAAAGCGCAGGTCGCGACGCAACTGCAGGTACAGGTCGCGCCCGAAGGCCGGCAGGTGCAGCAACAGGGCGCGTTCTCCTGGCCGGGCGCGCGGGGCGGCTGGGGGTGCGCGAGGACGCCGCCGCCGTCGGGGCCCCGGAGCTCCTGGCAGTGGCGGCAGGTGCACGTCGCTGGGGCGCACCCGCCACGGGAGCACCACCTCCACGTCGGCCGCCGCGTCGCCTACAGCTGCCGGGAAAGAAAAGACGCGTCAGCGCGGTGGGGCCAGCCTGGCCGCCAGCCCTCCAGCCGGCCGGCCGCCGCGCGCCGGGTCCAGCTCGGGGCTCGCCGCGCCACCTAGGGCGCAGCACCGCCGGGATCCGGCACTTCCTTCCCTCAGCTTGTCCTGGCACCTCCTAGCGGGCCAGCCCCCCGTCCGGCCCCTGCCAGCCGAGGAAGGTCTCCCGCGCGGACGCCCAGCACCTCCGGAGACGGCGCCGCGGTATGGGCGTGCAGAGAACCGGCGCCGGTGCGCCCTGCCAGGAGCCGCCAGGAGCTGCCCGGAGCCCGGTCCTCCGCGGCGGCCCGTGCCTCCTTCGCCCGGGACTCTGTCAGCGGTCCACCCGCTGCACTCGGGACGCGTGGATGCCTCCGAAGGGCAGAGGGAAGGTGGTGGAGAGGAGGGGAGATGAAAGGGGGCGCTACCTGTGCCGGGATCCAGACCCCAAAACAGCAGCAGCAGCAAGGGTAGGACCAGGGGAGGCAGCAGGGCGCCGTCACACATGGTACTTGGGACGAGCAGCCCCCGGGACCGTGGCGGCAGAGCAGGAGCGCGCGAGGCAGCAGCGCCAGCCGGAGTGAAGCCCTGCAGCCTTTGGAAAAAGTAATTAGCGCTGCGGACAAACCCAACGTGGTAAATCCAAAGCCCCGCCTTTCCCTCAAAACCCAGGAGGTGATTGGCCATTTACTTCACTCTGCCCCGCCTCCTCTCCCTCTATTGGTTAGAATGGGTCGAAACCAAAGTGCGTAGTTAGGTTGTAAGCACTTCTTACACGTGGTTTCTGGGCAATAGCCCGGACGTGACACCAGGTGGCAGGCACGAGCCAACCCGGACGGTGTGATCCTACAGGAGCTGGGAGAATACTGGCCTAGTCTTCAGAATTTGTCCTCATTTTGCAACTATCTGAGCCTGCTCCTCAGCTTCCCAGGAAGATTTGCCAGAAATCGTCCCGGCCAACCGGTTCCATCTACAAAAACATACTCTCTCTGCATCTAAAATAAAACCAATTTTGATTGTTTGCTACTGGAAAGGTTCCCAGACACACCTGAGTTCGCACCTGATAGTAGTATCATTGGTGTTTATCCAAACCTTTCACACCTCCTGCAGTCTTTATCTTCACAGAAGCCAGGGCACACCCACTCTCAGAATGGGAAACTAAGGAATAGAGTACTTAAGGAGCTCCACTTAAGTTTCAGGGAGTTTCTGTTAGGACAAAGGCTAGAATTCCTGATCTGACTTCCTGCCAGGTGTTGTTCATTGTTAGCAGCCAGAACCCTTCAAAAGAAGCAGGACAACGTATTAGCCAAGTTTTACAGGTAAGGAAACTGAAGAACAAAGTAGCAAAGACTAGACTTGAACACAAGTCTTTCAGCAACAGAAGAATTATGTTCCCATCAGAATATAACAGGTCTGCAGGTGATTGCTTGAGCATCTTGAAGAATGTCTCATAGATAAAGCAAAGCAAGATTAATGGAAAGAAATTATACCAGTCAAGGTTTCCCCTCCTTTTCCTGTTCTATTCTTCCCTGTTTTCTCAAAAAACGAAAGTGACAGTCCCTACCAAACTCTGCTTAAGGTCTCAGAGTCTACATTTCATCACCATGTTATATATCATCAGAAAGCATCAGAAAGTCAGGTGAACACTGTCCAGCTTCCCAGGTTTAATGAATTCCAAGAGTGGACTGTGGCCCTCCACAGAGGCTTTTCACAGAGGTGTTAGAGGTCTACCCACTGCTCCAGTGACCGCCACCTCTGCTTGGCAGCTGCAGTTCCTTGGAACATGGGCCCAGGTCCTACTATGGGCCAGATTTTGGAACTTTGTTTCTCTCACTTGACTGTGTTCTGGTCAGTAGCCTCAGCCATCTGAAAGTTCAGCAGCATTTTCTGGCAGCACAAGAAGTCATGGTGTAGCTTTGGCAAAAAGAGCCACTTCAAAGATCTGCAATTGAAAGCCATGGAGTATGGGCCACATCACTTCACAAGACTATTACTTCTGCCTTTGGAGTCAGCCTGAAGTAGTCATTGTCAAGTCATTGTCAGTTTTCTATCAGATGATTCTCAAGTGCTAAAGCAAACCCACAGGGATATGATAATTAAAACAAATGCAAAACAACATTTCATCCCCAGACTGACCAAAACTAAAGTGCTTGGATATATCAAGTAATGGAGAGGACAATCTCCTGCCCTCAGGTGGAAGTATAAATCGACAGACACTTTAACAAACAATTGGGCAAACTAGTAAAACTAAAAATGCTCACACACTACAACTGCATTAATTATTCTAGTTAATCACCCCAGAGAAACATTGGCACATGTACAAAGCGTGATCACCATAGCCCCTCAAAGAATAAAAACCTGAGCTGGGGATATAGTGCAGTGGTAAAGTGCTTGCCCAGCATGCACCAGGTCCTGGGTTCAATCTCTAGTACCATCAAAAAAAAGAAAAAAAGAAAGAAATTGCAAAAGCCTGAATGTCTATCAGTAGATAAATGGCCACTAGAAAACTATGCGTCAATTAAAAGAAATGTAAAAACCTCTTACGTGTAACAACATGGACAGATCTTCAAAATCAGTTATCAATTTTTTTAAAAAAGTGTAGTTGCAGAATGATGCAAAGTGGTCAAGTGTCCTCCAGATTCACCAGCCAGAAGTCAGGGTTGATTCCACCTATATAACCTGAGGTGCAGCTGCTCCCCAATGCTGCATAAAGTGAAGGCTATATAACATGGCCCAAGGCAAAACTTAGACATGATTTGCCGTATGCTTCTGCAAATCATGGAGCCTAACAGCAATCTCTGCTGGAGTTCATGATGACTTACTAGCAGAGAATATGATTTATTTTTCAAAATTTTAAGTTGTCTTCAAATGCCTGGACAAAAGAGAAAGTCAGCCCTGCAAAGCACATAACACTGAATACAACTACTGTTTTGAAGACTAGCATTGCCAAAATGCACTGAAGTCCTTCAGCACCCATATACTGTATGGTTTTAGGCAATTCAACTTCCTGATGAACTTCTCAAGATAAGTTAGTTGGGAAATATCAGAAAAGCATTTGATAAAGTAATAATTTGAGTTTTTGAAAAGTTGATCTTATCCTTGCAGAAAGTCTACTTCCTGCAAGGGACACAGACACTTCCTGATGATGGTTATCACACCATCCCCAGAGAAGAGCCCAGTCATCCTATGTTGTGGGACATATCATATATGTCTGACATATCTCAAAGTGGTCTCAATTAAAATGGGCTTTATAAATCCACTATGTGAATCCAGCACCTCTGTGGTAGCAATAAGTGAAACTTCTAGTGGCCGGGGGTTTATATTTAACCTAGTAGCTTAACTTATAAAAAGCATTTATCCTCAAAGGTCAAGGAAAAAGCAATAGTAACTGCATTGATTAATTCATTCGTGCTTTAGTTTCTTCAATACCTTTATTAGTGCCTATTTTTTATGTGCCATGAACTGAGATACCAAACGAGGAGTCAATAGCACGTGAATTGCACCCTTTTTTCCCCGCAGTCTACTACAGAAGCTTCTCTTATAAATTAAACACTCTTTCAGGTGCTGGGGATTGAGAGATGCAAAAATAACCACTGCTCTCTGCTTTATCTGGTGAGGAAAGACATGAGTAAGGAAATAATTATATGGGCATGTAAAATTATACATCTGCTGTGTAAAACAGTATAGCTGTCCTGAAAAAAACAATTAAACTTAAGAGTCCATCAATTCCACTTTTTTTTTTTTTGTACCAGGGGTTGAACTCAGTGTGCTTAACCACTGAGCCACATCCCAGAGATTTTTATTTTATTTATTTATTTATAGACAGGGTCTTGCTAAGTTGCTTAGGGCCTTGCTTTAAGTTGCTAAGGCTGGCTTTGAACATGTGATCCTCTTGCCTCAGTCTCCTGCGTCACTGGAAATACAGGCATGCACTACCACACCAGGCTTCACTTACTACGTATCTAAAATAATTAAAAACAGAGACTCAAACAGATATTTGCACACTCATGTTTAGAGCAGCTTTATTCACAGCTGCAAAAAGGTGGAAGCAACCCAATTGTTCATCAGTGGATGAGGGGATAAACAAAATGGGGCACACACATACAGTAGGACATGATTCAGCCTTTAAAAAGAAGGAAATTCTGACACACACTACAACATAGAGCCTTGAGAACATTATGCTAAGTGAATACACCAGTCACAAAAAAACATACTGTATGATTCCCCTTATAGAAGTAACCCAGAATAGTCAAATTTATAAATACATAAGTAGAACTTTGGTTTCCAGAGGCTGGTATAGGGGGAAAATTGTGTTTAGTGCATATAAAGTTTGGAGTGATGACAAAGTTCTGGAGATGGATATTGGTGATGGTTGCACACTAATGTGATGTACTTAACTGCCACTAAACTTAAAATTTTTTAAATGGCAAATTTTATGTTGTGTAGCTTTTATTTCAGTGTTTTTTAAGCCTTTATTGTTGCTGTGATCTCACTTCATTTTACGCACAAAATGCCTTGTCCTAATTTTGTGGAATGGTGGGGCTTAATATCATTTCACAGAAGAAGGAGAAAGATTTCAGAAGAGATCACAAACAACACAGCAAGCAACCAAAGTCCCTGAGGATAGCAATGGCATTGTGAAGCTTGAGGATGCTGAGGAAAGGATAACTCAACTTCCAGGTCACAGGTTGCAGGTCCAAGCAACATGCCATGCTTCCAACTGACAGAGCTCTAAACTTTCCAGCTTGCCCACCTGCCTCCTGTGAACAGCTCTAATTTCATTGATCTTTTCCAATCATGTTTTTTAGAACTGGGCATGTTTTCAATAAATCATGTTTTCAAGAAGGCTGATTATCTTGACTCACTTGGGCAAGGCACACACAGCTGTCCTGTTTGGATGAAGGCAGCCATCATTCTGGGCATTCATGCTGTTGAGAGCAGACTGCCCCTAAAGCTGCACAGATTGGGCTCAGTGCAGCCATGTTCAAAGCCCGCACTCAGAGCCCAAAGTCAGACTGGGCAGAGGACAAAGAGGACTGAGGGCACTTAGAATAAACTTGACCTTCTTAAATTCCCCACTTAGGGCTTACTTTAGCTGGTGATTGGTATAATCAGGTATACCAAGACCTGTGTGTAAACTTGCTCTGTTCATAGGTGGAAGACGTCCTGTAACTCTAAAGATTACTCAATGCAGAAGAAAGATTGATGATCCAGAGAGAGAATTCCACCATGACAGGCTCCTATTATCCTTGGGGGATATGCTCCAAGAGTCCCAGTGAATGTCTGAAACTGTGGCTAGCACCAAACCCTATACATTTTTTTCCATATACATATAAAGGAAAAGAGGATATATATCAGATATGTGTGTATGTGCTATGCTAAAGTTCAGTTTATAAATTAGGCACAGTAAGAGAGACCTAACAATAACTAATAATAGAATAATTATAACAACAAAGTGTAGTAAAAGTTATGTGAATGTGCTTTCTTGCTCACTCTCTCTTCCAAATCTCTTATTATAGAACACAAGCACTTTGATACCTTGACAGTAGGTCTGATAACTGAAATAGATACTAAGTGACTTAGTCCTGG